TCTCGCCGTACTCTGCGACTGTTGTCTCCTTCCGGTCGTCCTCCGGCACCTGCTCCTGGCAGAGGCCCACGCTGGCCGCCTGTGGCGGCTGCCCTTCTTGCTCGTGCTTCCTCTTTCTGCCTTTCCCTCTCGCGTTCTTCCTCTTGACGACACTCGAACCTGGCGCAGAAACCTGGCGCGGCTGCTTGATCACATGCAGTCAGGCAAGCAGCCCTTCTTACGACGTGCAGAGCATGCCTCTTCCGCGACCGACTCGAGGAAATCCGCAGCTAATGCAGGGTGCCATGGCCGGACCGAGTCGGCCGACGTTGGCTTACGATGGGTGTGCTCGCGGCCGGCAGGCGCACATTGCATAGCTATCCTGCCTCGGTTTGCTGCTGTGCGTTGCATGTGTGTGGACGTCTTGCGTTCTCGTCGTCGGAGTCATGGCTGAAAAACCATGCGGGACATGGGCGCAGCAGATCAAGACCACATGCATGGTAGCAATACATCGACGTCCGGCGTGTGGCCTTGTAGGTCTCGAGGGTGAAAGCCTGACCCAGGCCGAAATTCGTACGGACCTGGCGCCCCATGTGGTTGCGGATAAGCATGAAGTTTGGGTGGGTAGCCTTCCGGCCTCGCGTCTGTTCTGCCACTCCGGGAGAAAGCGTGCTAGTTCGGGCGCAGTGGCTCGATAGGCCAAGCGGGCCTGTCGGCCTCTGCCCGCCGCCCCGACTTCGTTTGCTACAAAGATAAGTACCTAGCATACGTTGACGGGTGCCCCAAGCACGAGGCAGAGGCTAAGTGCCTGGCAGCGGAAGGTGCACCATGGCCTCGGATGTCCTTTGCTCGAGTCGATGTAGTTACCTGGCAACCGCATGCACGTTCTGCTGTCCTGGGCGCTGTTCGTCGCCGACTACGACGCAGAGACAGAGGGTCGGCCGTTCCCCGCGGCGCGCGATCCTTCCACTTGGCCGGATGTGCTTGTACTCGTAAGTCCAGAACATCATGGCCATGGCGATCATGGTTTCGGGGCTATGTCGGGTTGTCGGGGCTTGTACTCGAGCAAAGTAGCTAGCGGGACTCATATTCTCGGCCTGTGTGCGACCCTTTGTTCGTCTATAGCGTCCAGTGTCGTGCGAACTTGTTCGTTCTACTCGCTGCGTGGAACCCGCGGTCGCACGTGCACCTTTTTGCTTGATCTCTCGCGGCGGCCGTGGCCGCCTTGGTCTGTCAGCCGGGCTGTGCTGGGCGCGACTCACTATGCTCGCCATGATCCGATCCCGTCCCAAACATGCTCCAGGCGTTTAGCGTACGAGTACACAGGTAGCGGCGCGTCCGTGTGGAAATGTTCCCCGCACATGGCGTGCTGCAGTGCATAGAAGTTGAACTGCATGCACCCCTTGCCGCCGCGCTGGTAAAGGGTGCTGCCCGCGCTGCGCTGGACTGTGAAGGCCTCGGCTGTTTGAAAAGCTGCCGCTTGCCAGAGATCCCTGAAGGACGGATAGTGGAACCACGCCAGGTGCTCCGAGTGCCATCCCATATCTTTCATCACCCACGCAAACGTCAGCTCTCCGGGCACTGTTTCCTCTGCGCTGCTCATACTGCGCAGCCAACGCCGGAGGACCTTCTCGGATGGGCAGGGGTGCTCTTGCACGAACCTGTGGAGAATTTTCTCCTCCCTGAGCACTTCGCGTCGCACTTGCGGACTGCACTTGCGCCAGGGGTCGGCCACTGCAAACGAGCCAATCGTCACCGGCTGTCGCGGAGATTGCGGCGGGATGGGGTTCCCGAAGTCCTCCTCGTCGCTGCTGCTCTGAAGTTGATCCCACTTGGAGTAGTCGATGGTCGACATGAAAGGCGACGGGTTCCGCGTGAAGCCCTGCGTGTGCTCTCCGATTGAAGCTGAAGCGGCTGCGAGATGCCCTGCTTGGGAGTAGACATGAACGGGCCGAGGCGGCTCCGCGCCTGCTCCTGCACCTGACGGCTTGTACGCTGTTTCTTGTCGAGCGGATTGCAGCTGTCCGTCTACGGGCTGAACACGACGCTATGTGACATCTTGCATTTGAAGGACGCCGTCCAGCCCTCTGTAGGTGAAAAAGACGACTACGTTCACTAGAGCGGGCCCGAGTTGGGTCCCTGGCAAGCGGGCGGCGGGCCTGGCCGAGTAGAAGAACTCGCTCTCTGATTCTTCCAGAAGGTCGCTCAAAGCTGCGCCCACGTCTCTTGTCGCTCTCGGCCATGCGTTCATCACCAGCACCGCTTCGCCGGGGGAGAACCCTCCGAGTCCGAAGTCGTCCATCCAATAGAGTAGATCCTCCACGGGACCCAAGGTCTGCAGCGGGTCCGACGGGTCTGGCGGAGACCAGTACTTCGTGCACCTGATGTTCACGGGAACGTTGAAGCCGGGGAAGCGCAGTTGTATAGTCCTCAAGGGTTCCATGACCCGGCGTAGCCTGGCTGCATCTGATAGAACGCGACGAGCCCACGCCAGTCTTCTCAGGGTCGGGGACCTGTCGACTTGCAACAGAAGGAGGATCTCCGCCGGCGTCAGCATCCGCCGCAGCAGCATGCCCGACTCCGCCTCCAGAAAGTACAGCAGAGTAGCCATGGTGCGCGCTCCGGACGAAATGTTGCTGCTGATCTTATGGCTGCAGCTGTCCCTGTGAGATATTTTCTGCAGGCAACGAGCGCGAGGGTGGGCTGCTTCCAGTGCAAGCAGGATGTTTTTAGCTGGTTGCATGCACGAGCAGATCGCCGGCTCTGCAGCTTCTCTCTAGTCCTATCTCACATTCTATGGATGTGTACCGACACGTGCCCTGCGAGGATGGTGGGCGCTGCACACACCCGAATCTCGCACAGCGTCTGTTGCGCTCGCGACGTCCCGGCTGGGCTGAGTACTGTCGGGGTTCCGGTGCTGACGTAGGGGTAGGGGTCTGCTGGCTCCGGTTCTACCTGCCATTCGTAGATAAACTCGTACCACAGTCGACAGGGAAAGCGATGCAGAAGGCAGCGCCGCTGCATGCTGGCCTGCCAGTCTCGCAGTGCCGCGGGCTCCCAGCGGTGAGACAGAGCGCTTTGTACGAATTCTGCCAGCTCGAGGTTCCGTCGCATCTCGCCTGAGCATGGTCTCTTGTGCATGTTCCTGCGAGTGCCTGCAATCTGGCTCAAGGCCTACGCCGAGGAGCTGACCGGCGTCGTACGCGGCTTCTGCGACGTCCGCCGTGTCGTCGTCTTCGGTTTCGCTTCTGCCGTCAAGGGTCCGTGGCGGTCGCGACTCCGTATCCGAGTGCGACGCCCTCGGCGAGATCAGGTCGCTGCTGCCTCGCATTCAGATGTCGTAGCATGACAGACCGGAGGCCGAAAGACCGCTGAGATAAAGGGGAGGAGGAAGGAAGGAGTGGAAGAGACGGACGGGAGAGAGAGAGGGAGAGAGACGGCAAGTGTGAGGAAACAGAGCGGAGAACGGAGAAGTGGTGGGGGCAGGAGCGTTCGTCGGAGATGAGCACTGGCTCCGGTCCGATGAGGTGGCGGCGGTGCTCTGCTTGATTCACGAGGTGGTGCCGCTCCGGTGGTGCACCGTCTGCTGGGTCCTGCAGCACTGGCACGGCTTGCGTCTGCTCCTTGAACTTAGCCCGTCCGCCACATTCGAACGGTCCCGGTCTATGCAGCGGGTCTGTACGCCCGTCGCATGCCGTTTCTGTCTTGCTGCTGACCATGCTGCGTCAACTCCTCATAGGGGTCGTCGTGGTCCTGTCTGCAGCGACGACCTATGCGACACGAACATGGCCGGGTGTTCGAGTCTGTCCTCCTGCACGTCCGCCCAGGCCTGTCTGCCCGAGAAAACCAGCATTGCTCGTTGGCGGTTGCTCGGGCGCCGGATGGCACAACCTACGATTCTCCGCAGCGGTGCTGTGTCGTGGGTGGCACATGCATGCTTCGTATTCCCATGGCTTATCCGTGCGGATCCTATGGACGTGCCTTCTTTTCCCGCGCGGGCGGTATGGGTCTTTCCTGAAGCAGGCTTCGGTTGGTTCGCCCGTCCTCCTGACGAGGCTCGTAGTGCGATGCCGGCTCGCCTCACTCGATGTCCTCGGCGTTACGCTCGTCTGCCTGGTCCCTTGTCCGGATCGAAGGCTCTGCCTCTGCCGGGTCTTCCGTGCCGGCTGCCAGTGGCAACGGGCTGTCTCCGGCACCGAACCCCAGTGGTACGCCCTCGCCAGGCTTCGTGTCCTGCGCTTGCTCCAGGGTTCTTTTCTGCGCACCCGACCGACGTGCTCCGCTGGTCGGTCCGGTGCGATAGACCGCCCACGGTGCCGTGGCTGGCAGTCGATAGTAATCGATGCATGGTTCAAGCGCAGTCACGTCTTGCAAGGTCAGAGCGTAGGTTTTCTTGTAGCTGGGCATGCCTCCCAAATGTCTGTGCTGTTTTCTCCCGGTCTGGAAGTCCTCGTCCGTGATGATGCTGCAGTCGACGATATTGGCGGCTCCGTGAATCTGGCCGTTGCAGCCCAGCCACGTCTTCCCCAGCGCCGCCGGCGCACCGCGGAGTTCCACAGTCTTCAGACGGTTCATGACCAGCTGCAACCAAGCTTCCTTCATGACCATGATTCTGTCTCCTTGTGCGGGTGTCGGACGCTGACGCCCGGAGCACGTCGTGCCGTTGCCCGCGTCGTCGCCGGTCCCTTCGCCGGCTTCGCGTACCTCTCCATCCAAGTTGGTGTGTTCGACCGCGGATGCAGGATGTCAGTCCTGGCCTCGTGGCGCCGTTTCATCTCGGAGTCTGTGTCCTGTCTAGACACTTATCGAGCCGGCATGACGTACGTGGCGAGTCCCGACCGACGGTGTTCGGCAAGTGTAACTCGCCGACCTGCCTGGACCTCGCGGCTGTCGTCGGCCAGGCTCGATGGTGCTTCTCTTGGACACGTGTCGGGAACCGTGGCCTCCGCGACGTCATCCT